ATATAGGCCTATATATTAATCAAACTATGTTTAATCTATTTTTATAATTGATTGAACTTTATGTTATTTATTAGACATAAATATTTTATTATATTTACCACTCCATTTATAAACGTTGGAGCTTTTTTATATCTGCTTTGTTCCGTTTGATGAAGGCTAGATCTCTACTGGGTTTTAATATAAAACATTTCTTGCAGAATTTGGTCCTCCGCATTTTTATTCATCATTAATTCACTCGTTAATGGTTAATCATCTAATGTGCCAGCGTGATTTTATTTAATCATGGCGGAAAGTCCGAGGCCCTTCAAAGATAATACCGTTACCACAATTGGAGAGATAGTTAACGATTTTGGCTCAAATACTACAGCGCATGGAATACCTCGAATTATCTCTGCGACAAAACTTCTTTCAAGGGTTTTCTGGACGTTGATTTGCCTTGGGGCATTTGCGTTATTCATCACACAATCAATAACACTTTTAAAGGACTATCTTGCATACCCAACCACAACCAAAGTAGAATTGGTTCCAAAAAGTATAGTTACATTTCCGTCGATTACGATCTGTAACATGAACCGTTTACGAAGATCGGCTTTAACGGGAACGCGGTTTGAAGAACTTATAGATATAGATGGCGGCTTTGACGAAGACTACACTTCTTGGTTTGGATCAAATGTATTTTATGGTAGTGAATCGGCGCCACAAACATCTAATAACGGTGGTGGATCTTCGTCACAAGCAACATCTAATAACGGCGGGTCGGCGTCGCCATCATCTGATAACGTTGGTGGGTCGGCGTCGCCTTCATTCTATAACGTTGGTGAGTCGGCGTCCCCATCACCTAATATCAATAGTGAATTGACGTCACAATCACCTGATAGCGTTCCTGCACCGACGTTACCGTCACAAACAGATGACGGAGGTATCCTCAGAAGAAAAAGGAAGTCTCTGCGCAATGGCCGTAATGCTGATTCCGAGCAAAGTTCAACTGATGCATCGGTGGCAATGACGGATGATGCATCGATGACGGGTGATGCACCAATGACGGGTGATGCACCAATGACTGATGATGGATCCATTGACTCAGATTCTTTGAGAAACACTGAAACGTCTAATACAGAAGATGATACGAATCCCAATGGCGGTGGGGATTCATACGGAAATGTCGGTAGCAGTTCATATTGGAACGACTATTTTGATTTTTCCTATTATGGATCGTTCGAATTCCTGTACGATGACTACTATGACTGGGGAGATATAACGGATCCAAATGACTGGAGAGCGATTTACGATAATTCAAGAACCGAGGATTACAGTGATATCATCAAGGCTCTTAGTCCAACGAAAGAGGAGCTGCGAGAATACGGACACCAGGCATCTGATTTCATCTTACAGTGTTCGTATAATAAAAGAAAGTGCAATTATACGTAAGTTAAGCCTACTATAGGTGTCCGTTTAAAAGCCGTTAGTGTGCTTCGTAAATATTCGTAATCTCGTGCGTATGTAGGGTGTACCAGAAAGCGAACATGCGTGATGCAAATTCGATTATGGGCTGCATTACGATTAAAGATGATCTCGTCACACACTCCTAACTCTCAGCTACTCTAGCTAGCCTTTGGACTACCCCAAAAACAACTTGGAAGTACCGTCAATAATATCCAATTTGAATGAATATATATGTATGTATATATATATATATATATATATATATATATATATATATATAACACTGTTCAGTTATAAATCATCAAAGAAAGGTAAATACAGTGTTCGAATAAAGGACATGATAATACATCTTGTAGCATAGCTCACAAAGAAAGTTGTCCTGTAAATAAATGAATAAGGAAATTGTGTAATAAAATGCACCTAACGGAATTCTAACCTGTGACCTCTCGCTGTCAAGGCGAGCGTCATAACCATTAGCCAACAAAGGCTTCATGGTTGAACAGATTACCCCCAGATACCCTCTATTACACAATAAGTACGACTGGAAACAAATATTTCATATAATATAATCCAAGATAGCCGTTAACACTGTTAAATTATATATAAATCATCAAAGAAAGGCAAATACTTTGTATTTACCTTTCTTTGATGATATATTATAGGCTATATTATAGTTATTATAATGGTTAATTTTAATGTTATAATAGTTATTATATATATATATATATATATATATATATATATAATGTAAGAAATTATAATCTAATTAAGCTTTAATGAAACGTAAGGATATATTTTCGTACTTCCTGAGTAAACAAATAGGTAGATTTTCGGACAAAAGTCCTTGATAATGGAACCAAACGGACGCAAATTAGCAAACTGAGAACGGAAGTAATACGTATTGATATACATATATATGAATATTAATAGTAACATATATATATTCTAACATTGATTAAATATATATATATATACGGTATATATATAAATATATAGGCCTATACACACATATATATATTTATATATATAAAAACATATATATATATATATATATAATCAATGTTAGAAAATATATATCTTACTATTTATTTCCAGCCGTATTTAACGCCCTCCCGAGGTGCACCATCACTGTGTAATACAATGTAGCTGGATATTGAATCTGTTCAACCATAAAGCCTCTGTGGTCTAATGGTTGTGACGCTCGCCTTTACAGCGGGAGGTTGCAGGTTCGAATCCCGTCGCGGGCATTTTATTACACAATGTATTCATTTACACATGAGAGCTATGCTACACGATGTACCATTATGTCCTTTATTCGCATTTCTTTGATTGATTATATATAATATAATTTAACAATGGTAACGGCTAGATATATATATATATATATATATATATATATATATATA